CGTTGCAATCAGATTGATTGAGTCTAAAACAGCCAAAACGTTTATGGGATGATCTTGGTATGAGGATAATCATAATTTTTTAGTCTTTTATTGCCATAACTTTTAAGAAAGCAGTAAAAGCATGCCTGGAATCTGATGAAGTATAGTCCAATTGCGATAATCGTACCGCTTCGTTTTGGTACTTGAAATTTCCCTCGATTCCATACCCAATAAATTCCTTGGAGTTATTAAATGTGTGGTGTATCGAGGAACAATTGGGTCCAAGCATATCTGCGCAATTATCTTGACCTAACTAAAAAGAATATTAATTTTCTCCAGCAAAAGCGCACACAGCTATATTTGACAGTCCCCGGAGTAATTTCAACTTTTCAAGATTAATCACAAGTTATGAAAAGAGGGGGCGGTTTTCTTTTCCGTTAACTTTGGTATTGCCTTATTTGGTTGGCAGCAGACAAAACACTGAAGCGACTTTGCAAGAAGGGCGAGGTGAACTTTCACCTCCTGCCTATCATCTGGAGGTGAAAGTCCATTGTGTCTAACCCACATTGTGATGCAGACCGAGGCATGCCAAGTGTCAAGTGCTCTGCCAAAACTGTCTGTTTCTTTGCTCCTCCTCACGCCATTACACAACACAGCCAAGGGAAGAAGCACTAACAGTGGCAGCAGTGGCTGAGAACATTGCTGATGCGCAATAGGGAATGGATCAGAAATGCTACTGGCAACTCAAGGAGTGACTTATAAATCGCCTTTAGGGAAAAGGTCTTCAATTTAAGTAATCGAATCTGTAAAGCCTCTATTTAAGGTAATACCTTTGACATTAGAGCCACCGAAGTAAACCGACCGGCAAAACTCACGTGATCTAACATCCTAGTAGGATGTCAAGTCAAGAATATTCTGCAAATGCACGGTGTTGCTTTAAACTCCACTAATCTGTATGCATTGGAGTTTGGTGCAACTGCAGTTATCTTTAACTGACGACTTTGATGCTGGTTTCCAGTACGCAAAGCTTGTAGCGAATCTGTCAAGTGATTTGGATTTCAATAACGCTAAAAGTGCAAAGTTTCTCCAAATTCCGATTGACCTACCGACGCCAGACGTGAATGTCTATTCAGACGAGAAAATTCACTTTACGACTAGTTTTACGTCTATGCATTACTTTTAGTTCTTACTTATGTGGTTGAGATGTACACTTTGAATTTTTAACGTCAGTTTAGGTAATTTACCAACGGTAACTTGTGGAAGAAACATGTGTATGTTGGTCAAAGACCTGCTTGTGAAATTGGGTGTTTGTCTGTTAACAGGCTTTGTTCCTTTATCCTCTGGTGCATGGGAGAAGCCAGGCCAAAGAGGATGTCACCCGCAAAAAGCCCGCATCTTATGCTAGTGTTGAACGGACTTCAAACCTGAGACATGGAAAAAACTTCCTTTTTATGCCACGACACGAAAAAGTCGGTTTTGAACTAGCCAATCAAAATCAACCTTACCTTCCTCCACAAACCTCATCCATTTCAGTAGCAGAGTCGATCACGCAGCGAAATCTCCTCAAATTGCATTGAAAAACACCCTCATCTGCATACTGTGAAAATGTCCCGAAGCAGAAAAATGCGTGTAATTCATAGGATAAAGGAGACAGTAGAGTATGGATCACTGCCCCATGTCAATTAAAGTTACATCATCCGAGGACGGCATCACTTGACATGTGTATCCACCTGTGGTTTCAATGAGTCACTAGTGGTAACCCTCTCGTCACAACTAAAGCAGATTCCAGGAGAGCCATAAAAATTACTCTGTACAATGTACTCTTAGGAGTGAGATAAAAGCTCACCTTGCTTGTCGACAGAAAACTGCTTAAAAGTAATTAGTAAGTAGTGCTTCTTTCTGTTCACCGCTCCTTTTCCAACAGCACTGTTCCCTACTGCAGCGATAGCAGATTGACATAAAATAAGTCTACAAAAATATCTCTCAAGGTGGCGTAGAAAATTGTGCTAAGCACTTCATTGAATCGCTATTAAGAATTAAGTTTCTGCTTGAGTGGGTGAACATCAGTGGGTTAAGCAAAGGCTACCAGTGAGGAGTTTTTTTAGAGGACTTTAGTGTTACTCCATCTGTCTCCATTCTACAAACCTACCACGCACAACTGTCAGTGGGCTGCCTCTCTACACTGGCAGCCTGTCAACATATGTGCTGTCTTCTGTAGAAGAATTTTATTTGTTTATTTGCTTGTGCAAAGGATGTGTATTTGTCTTTGGGGTTGTCATTGCCACCTAAGCGCTGACAAACGACATCGAAGCTAGCGTGCCTTACTGCATGCAGCATCAGAAGAAGAAGAAGAAGAAGGAGAGAGAGAATAAGAAAACACTACACACACATACACACACATACAAATGCTAGGTCGACGTTTTACCAAACTACAATGATTTATTGTTGTCGCAGAGTGATCTGTGAAAATGAGAGGAACGGGGAAAATGGTAGGGTTTGCTAATTTTGGTGTTACTTACTCACCAAATCATCAAAACTACTAATGCCCTAACAAGTGACTTGATTGCATTGCTGATGTTGGAGATGAGAACTACTGTTCCGCAGCAATATTAGCCTACTTTTTACAAACCTTTTCCTATCTCTAAAACACATACATGCATTCAAACTGCAGTAATTTTAAAATACACCCCTTGTTTTGGCAATCCTGCGTACGGAAATAAAACCACACATTAAAAATTTGTCGAGATTTTGTTGGCACAAAACATTGCGATGACAGCTACTTCAATTTAGTGCGGAGGTATAAGTAAATATTCACTGTCCAAAATAAATGGGGTATTTGATATGAATAAGGAGTTTCATCTCAGGCGAATTCTTGTCAGAAATGCTTTCCATGCCGCACACACACAGTCACTGACTCCACCGGCACATCGAAAGAAGGTTGATTTGGGTGGGACACGTCAATTGGCGTTTGAAATACACCTTACACAAAGAGGCGCACTCGTCGAGCTACAAAGGGCCCCGCTTAAAGTGCACATCTTCTTTGTCATTGTCAAGTGGATAGCGCCATCATTTGGCTACAAATGAGGTATGACACATTGATGGTACTTTAGTACATTCTTCCGTGTAGGTCAAGTGGGCGTTCCGCTGCGGTCCATCGATAGAACGCTATGTTATAGCCACATTCCGTTTTCGTTGCGGGGTGAAAGTAGACTTGTATCAAAGAGGATATACTAATTTGTTATCATCTTTATATTTCCTGTGACTTCGATCAGTTTCCAGAACAGTAAATAGTTCATCAAGTCTTTTATTAAGGAAAGGCTTCTTGATAAAAGTCCATTTTAGAAATTAGTCCTAATTAACTTGCTTATTTGATTGTCTTCCAAAGATGTACGTCAGCGTTACGCCAATTATCCCATCATTCCAAGAATTACTAGTACTTTTCCTTAGTAAAGTGCAGCTGGATCTAAATTTACCAGTGAGCATTTGAATTGTGCTTTTGAGGGCATAGTGGATTATCTCATTCCAAAGTGGTTGGTTGGGCTGCCGCAATGGCCTCGTAAATCGTGCTACAGAGTCAGGTGATTTGCATAAAATCACCATAAATCGGCGAAAGTTTTCACAAGTTCTTTAGAAATTCCTGTAGTAGGATTTATTGTAATAGGCGAAAAGTGCCAGCCTATCGCAGGAGTTGATTAAAAATCGATTGATGGATTATCGGATTCACAAACTGCACTCTGCGGTGACATCACTGCATTTGCCTCTTGGATAATCAATGCCCCCTTATCGATTGCCTTCAGTTCACGGCCTGCTTTTAAGACGCCGCGCTAAGGCACTGGTGGCGCACTGGTAACTGGGCTAGAGCCGAAAGTTGCAGCTTCTTGAGGAAATAACTTTTGGATTTTGACAGTGTCTGGGTTTGCATTCGCAACCACCTACTTAGTTGACTTGTTTATGAGGTGGTTGTGGTCCACTCTTCAAGTGGAATAAGTTGCACCTTTCCCTCCCAATATGCACCTATATACAGATAGGTTTAAAAGTTAAATGTCTTTGTGGATACAGGTTAGCTCCTTACACTCGTGCCATCGTTTCCTGTGACACCTTTAAGTGTCAAAATATGTTTTAAGACCGATTTGCTAATTCGCTAGAAAATGATATGATGTTTCCCCTGGGGCAAATTTTGACCCAAATTATCGACCACAGTCATAATTTTCAGTAAAATAACAACACAGTTCTCGCAAAACATAAAATTAGCAATTTAAAACATCCTATGACTCATTTGAGCTGATGTTTTTCACAATATTACTTATTAATTGTTTTTTTTCTTATTGGACATTTACGATTATCACTGTAAAGCGCAAACAGCTGTTCTTTTTGTTCCTTCTGTGATTTTCACCTAGCTTATAGCAGAAAGTGGTTATCACTTTCAATAATGCCAATGCCATTTTAGCAACGGAATTGTAATCAAAATAAGACAAAACTTAGGTTGCTTGTTCGACTCTTCGTTTTGTTTTCGTGGGCGCTCAAGCCGCCGCCTTCGTATCTCCGCTGGGTAGCATGGCCTCCGGGCCATTCCAACAGCCCTTGCCTCTTCTGTACGTCGGCGATACTTTTCTGTGCAAGTATTGAGACTTCCTTCGTCTTCAGAGGATTTTCGAGGGGCTACAATAAATTGTCTTGTTACTGTAAGAAATTCTTAATAACTGCTGAATGCAGTCGCATTAATGCAGTTTCATTAAACCATCGAAATTGCAATCATGAAGCATTATTTTTGACTTTCGAATGAAAAAATCATCACGTCACACCTGAAAGTGAAAACCAACCAACTCTGATAGATCCTGATTGTGGCCCAATCACCTTTTCTGCTTCAAATAGATCTTCAATCATTTCCCTTGCTCAGAAAATTTTGGTGCATTATTCTCTTTATTTCCAGCACATTTAGGCACCGAAAGCCTCGGTTACTATGTCCTTCAATGTAGGCCTCTGTGCTTTTGGGCGGTACTCTAGCTGCCATTGTTTTGCCTTCAAAAGTCCAAAGCTGTGACAAATGACGGGAGTGACATGGGAGGAAAAAGTGGGAAAATGAAGAGGAGGGTGGAAAGGCAACTCTCCAAAGCGGAGGAAGAAGGGATGATAGACTGACTGTCAGAGGTATTGTCAATATGAGGAGGAAGGGGAGAGAGGTGGGATCTACTAGTCAGGCCGCCTATTTTGTCAAAGGGAGCGTTCTAATTAGCGGGGATAAAAGAGGGGTGGAGACACATACGTGCACACACACACAACATCCATAAGTCGTAATCATAACACGGTCATATCCATCAAAGGCAAAGGCAGGTGGTTTTATTGACAACTAAAATTTAACTTTAAAACCGGAACTCCCTCTTTTAACGATGCAGAGTAGTTACTTATTTAAGGGTTATCGTGACACTTGGGGATGCAGCATAAACTTACTCTCTGAAGTCTGCTACTCCTACTATCAAAACACAATCCTCACTCCACTCCCATAAAACAAAAGGACCTAAATAAGCAGCTCCAGCCTTTTAATGGAGAGCTGTCCTGCCCTTTGTGGCGTCTAGAATGGTTACTCATCCCAAGGTTTGGCAAATAAAGCACAATCTTAAGTGAATTTAAGGCTGCCAAGACTCAGCACTCCATCAACTGCGCAAATCACTTGCGGACTTCCTTCTCCATTCCTCCTGGCTGTGACTGTAGTTCGGGTGGCCTCCACTAATTGAGGCAGCACAGCTAGCTACCAGCTATTAGTTCCATGAGGAGAGGACAACCTTGAGAGAGGGGACTTTGATCTCGCACTGAGTAGACAAGTTAAAATTGGCTAACCCAGGCTCATACATACTTTGTATGTACTTCATGTAATTTTCAAGGCGGCTAAACAAGAGCGGAACCTTTTGGAAGACTATCTAGTGTCTCTTTTAGAGGTACTTAAATTGCACAGATAATATCTCGATTAATACTTTGGCAGTACTGACTTCTTCCAACAGCTTGCATGTAATTTTGAGAAGCCATAATATCTATCTTTCTATCTTTCCTGGAAGTTTGACCAGCCCCAAAGGAACCGCCATGCAACTTACCAAGGAGAGTGGGTGAGCAAGCTTTGAGGGAGCCAGCATCTTCGCAGGCCAAAAGAATTGAATTAAAATACGTTTTTAGCCGGTTGGCGATCATAGTACTACGACAGATAATGCTTGCTTTGATTGACCACTTGACTGGGTAGGTTTTCGTAGTCGTTAGAACTAACTTCGACCCCATAGCATTAGCGCACTTACTAACGCGAATTCCAAGGAGGCCCTATTAAAGGGATCCTCAAGTCGGAAACAGCAGCATGCCTTAGGTCAAATCTCGTTCAACACTGAACCATTTACCGTGGTGGATAGACCACAAAAGGCTACAGTTCTTCGCCTCAAAGCTGGATTGCTTAATTAAGCCAAAACAGTTCCTCTTTTGTGATAGAATAAAGTCAGTTGGGTGAGTGGATGGTGGTCATGGGTGGTCACAATTTACGGAAGCCGTCGAGCCAAGTGAAATTTAACCTCTTCAGGAGGCAGCACAATTTACGAGTGATCTGCTTTACACCGGACCGGTACGTAGGAATGCGTGTGGTCCTTGCCTGCAAAAGACAGCTTTCTCACGAGGCCAGTAGAGAGGGAGGAATGAAAAGGAGGCTTTTGAGAAGCTCCTTTGAATATGCACGGCACCGTTTGGCACTTGACTTTTCTACGTCCCTATTTCGAAACAAGAGAGATGGATTCCTTTCACAAAGGCGTGTCTGAAAACTTAATGTGAGACAAATTGTTTGGAAGATTAGTTTTAAAAAGACTACTTATCACCTAAAATCTTCCCCACCGGTTTCTAAGGGATCCATTGAAGTGGGAATGCAACCACATCGAACTTAGCCATTGACAGATGGATAAAAATATCTACCCCAGGCGTCTTGATTTCACTCTCAGAACAGCAGAGACAGAAATTTTTGATCCCTTAAAACCAAGAGCGGTTAAAGTGAAACGTTACAGATGTATTTGAAATCGAAAATGTTATCGTGGGGGGTCTGACAATTCATTTGTAACGACTGTTATTTCCCGACCTTATGAGTGGTTAAGTTAGTTGTTATGCTGAAGTAGAATCCGCATGTTATTTAAAGGATGGTCGATTGTCACATAGCCGTATTCTGGTTTTACCGTCATCACCTTGACTCATCTTTCGTCATCCCCCGTAGAGGCTGGCTCACGGAGATTGCGTGGGCAGAAGGTCTATACACACTCACACAGGATCCACGCCTTGCATGACAGGCGCTGTCACAACTGCATGTCACAATGACTTTGCCATCGTTTACCTTTGTACTTGGTCCCCAAAATGTTTTATGAAGTCCACAAAAATACGGATTTTATCACTACATAACGATTTCATCTAATATAGAAGGTAATTTATAAAATAGCGGACTGGGAGTACGTCATCGATGTAAAAGTGGTTATTTATTGCGCATTGTAACTTGGAAGGTCACCGAGACCATTCACTAGGTGTCTTCCAGACATGTGCTTAAGATAGGTATGATTGATGCGCTTTAATGGGAGTGCATGGATGCTCCCATTATTCATCATCTAGTTTTTTTGGCAGTGATCAAAACCGAGGCAATAGTGATTAATGTTGGAGTTGATAAAATTGACTAGAAAAGTAGAAAGGACAGACACAATGAAGATTTTCAGCAGTTTGTCGCTTTATAGACTCAAGAAAGTGAAATCTAATCACAAATGACCTTGACACGGCCCCGGAGAATTGACTACCATAGATGTCCATATGACGACTCTAATAAGGCACCTTTTGCATAAGTAGTTGATTAGCCAATTTAACTACTCCTCAAGTGGACAAAAAGTGCCATCAACGTGACTAAATACGACTTGTGCCAACCTCATTGTGTGACGCTCAACCAATGCGATGACGGTGCATGATGCGGTGTAGGCACGGTTATCATGCCACATGGATTTGAAATGCAGGCTCAGATCAGAAAGATGGGTGTCTGGCTCATGTGACGCTGGTGACTACCGTGTCAACTAGGCAGTTTCGCCAGACTAGAGCAAAAGGGTCCGAGTTCAACAACTAGAAGTCGGCTCGCTAGAAGCCAGTCGTAGGGAGACAAATGAGCTGATACATTACTTTTCTAACAAAAACTAAAAATACAGAAATAATGAGTGTTTTTTGTAGGTAACAGCAGTAAATTGCAATCTGTTCTTTCAGAGTGGATACACTGGTGGAAGGCAAAACCTCCACGAGATATGCGAATTTCTAAATTTTGGATTAGGCAAATGCGTATCTCTGGAAAGTGGGAGTGAGCTACTTTAAGCACAAAATTACCGGATAGACCAACTCAATTAATCTCACTTTTCCGGAAAGCCGATGGACTACTGTGATAAGGAGGCGGTTGGAAATTAGCACTTTATGCCTTTAAAATTTGCCGGTTAAGCTAAACCCCTTGGGAATCAGTGGGCGGACCAGGGCCCACAGGTCCATCTGTGAACTGCATTATAAAATGCTTCCACTACAAGAGCAAGCAAATGTTGAAAAGCAACTTGGAATTTTAGTAGATCACGTTGGTTTTAATGTGGACCGGTCATTAAGGTTTTCCTCCTCGCAACTTAGTCGTGCTCCTTAAAGAAGCATTGGATTTAATTTATACCGTCAAAGAGACAATTTTTACCCCGTAAATGCAAACAATTTATAGCCTGTTAGTTTATTTTAAAAAAATGTCTTTTTGTTTTTAAAAGGAAAGTCCACTCTCCTTTAGCAAATAGCAATAAACTGTGTTGCTTGTAATTTAAATGAACGTCAACGCAACTTTTTCCTATTTTTTAATGTAAGTAGACATGGCTTTTGAGGATACTGACAGGCCATTGAGTAGCCAAAAAGTCAACTATTTCTATTTAAGTCAAGTGAGATGGAATGTTGATCCAAAGTTACATGAATGAGAAGTTTTTAACGCTTTAATTGCTAGTGTCACATATATGTGACACCTGGACCTGTTCACCTCAAACGTACATAAAATGTATTCTTGATTAGTTTACGATGACTGATGACACAAGTCGTGTCACAAACAAAAATTTTGATCTTAAATTAACAATTTAAATGCATAGAATATTGTCGGCTGAAGAAAATTTCCGCCCTTTTAGCAGTGGAGCAGTAGTTGAATTTGTCCATGGAAAAATAATGATCGACATCATTGCCATGCGGAACATGGAGATGGTCATTAAAATCTCTGCCAATTCTGCTATCACTTGCTTTAGTAATACAAAAAGTTTACTCATTTGGACATGGTCAATTAGACCAAAAGCTCCAAAAGACTTAACTACGCAAAACGATTTAAGGTTCCTTCAACCGGTAACAATGACCCGACTCAGTTACAAAATGGGTCTTTACATAACCTATTTTCATTTCCAAAAGTTTATTCGACCCTATTTTTAAGATCTTTGCTGAGTTACTAAAGGTTGCTATTTACATTTATAAATACACAATTAATTTTAATAACAAAGCTATAAATTTCGTTCCCTTCTACGAACTTCTCAGGTACGTACCTGCAGGGGTCCCAAAGACACCTCATTCACCACAGCCCGGCTGTCTCCTCGTTCTTACATAATGCAAAGGAAGAAGATTTTGTTGACCAATTTAAGTGCTCCTTGAAGGGCAAAGGATGAAATTATTGCCAGACTTGTGACATCCCTTACGCCTCTTTTATTGTTTAGTCTCCATCCATCTAATTGCAACATAAATTCAGAAGCAACCTATTACCACGATGTGATGGAAAAGTCTCACATATTACGTGTGATAGGCCAGACCAGATAAGAAAATTTAGGCGTCACTTATGTATGACAAGATGCGGCATTTTCAGGAAGAACTTATGTATGGAATTCCTCTCACTTTGGGTCGCATTTCTGAGCGAAATGACCTCCACAAAGCGGCGTTTTCTGTGGTCAACTCTACTATTTATTTTACGGAACGTTTTCGTGTTAACAAGCGACTTCTTTTAAATTTCTCACTAACTTAGTGGTAGAAGGACTTTTAAAATGTAATTGCCAAGTAGGGCTGCGCTACCCACTTGGATGCATGAAAATGATTTGCTATAATTTGGAAGCCGGGGTACCACCGAACTCTTATGTATCAGTGATCATAAGGGGGTATTATCCATTCCGATTTCAAAAACCAAAAGAGGGTGTTCATTAAATCATGATTCCAGACAATTTATAACCTCGGTGAGATTGCATTTGAGTTAGCCAAACTCCCATTCTGGCACTGCCAACGGGATGGCCCATCACCATTACCATTAGCTGAAATTATAAAAATTAATCGGCGGCTGTGATCTCCACCCATAGATCATGCCTATTGTGTCCTGCGGTGTGACGAGCGCTCTACGAGGGTGAGGGGGGGGGGGAGGGGGCTTTATGCCCAGCAGACAAATAAATACTACCTGTATGGTTCTGTAAGCAGGCTTAGATGCTGGCGGTTATGTCAAAGACCTACCCCGTGACATGGTGGCATGGAAATGGACCTGATGGTTATGTCCATCGACAAAAAAAGACCCATTCCACTTCTTCCTTTCGTCATTCCTCTTAAAAGATCATATGGAGAGCCGTCTTTTTGAGTTCGGACTTGCTAACGTCGGTTGCGATTTGGGTTGCTATGGTGATACAATGTGCAACGGAGCCAAATCTGGACTTTTGAGTTTGCAAATGAAAAAACACATTTCAAGGAGTAGAAAAATGTAAATATTTCCTACATGTTCCCCTGATGCCATAGTTTTACTAACACTTGTAGAACAACTGCGGCATAGAGATTTGTCAGCATGGCTGAACTTGCCTAGGACAACCTGACCGCCTGTCTTTGTAGCCAGTGCTCGACGGATTTTTGGAAGTGTAAGCATGCTTGAATGTCCGTGGCGAAAAAAGTTGTCGTCTAATGCAACTTCACCAAAGGTTATGAGTCAAACATTCAGCCAGGTTTAGACGTTTCACGCACTGGGTGAACGTTCACTGGAACGAGGGCTGAGCCAGCCGGGCGGGGGCGGGAGAAGGTCAATTATAGCAGCTCCTCTAGCGCCTTCAAACTATTCAATCAAGTACCCTACCAC